AAAATGTTTTCATAGTTGAATCCATTATCTCTCTGATTTACTCTGGACCTTCTAGCTCACTGGAAACAAAATAATATTCTGGGAGATGACCCACTTTGGTGAAGTTGGCTGAGGTATTAGCTCTGCTCCCACCAAGATCATATGCAATTAATAGAAATCTCTACTGTTCTTCACATCCACAACTCTAGCCATCTACTGTTAGTGTTGTTACCATTCTTGTTTCTCTATCAGATGATTCAAAATAAATGGCGGGTTGGGAATGGAGCACATAGGAGAGTTTTTAGACATGTAAACAAATATTCTTCCCAAATGAATATCAGATTTAAGTAAACTTGTAAACAGTTTATTGGGAGTTTCTTTTTTTCTCCCGAATTCTTGTATTTCTGTACATGAGCAATGTATATTAGTGAAGGCCAAACTTTCACTCAATTTACCTTCTATTGATATTCAAATCACTAATTTCATGGCCTTACACTGTGCAATTTAAACAGGCTATTAGTATATAATGTCAGTAAAGTTTACAGGACATGTTATGAATGAAATAAGTAATCCATGAAATGATTTTTCCCCCTTCATGTTATAGGATACAGAAAAATGAGTATGTTGAATGCCCTTTATCTCAAGCCTCGATGTAGGTATACTTGGGCTTTGAGTCCTCAGATAGAGACTAGGTAAGGGTCAGCCACCACCTCCACTCGTGTCGTCGTTTCTCTGAAGAATGGTGATGCTGATAAGCATGGAGGTCCACAATTCTGATTAGAGTCTGGTTAAGAAATGCTGTTCTGTGGTTTCATCTCTGAGTTCCCGTTTTTCTTTTGGAATCTGCTCAGTGCTCTCATAGGCTAGGTTGATGTAGAAACCATTTTTGCCCTCTCCTGCATAGTCTGTCCTGTTTGTGGGAGGCCACATGGAGTCTTCTGCCAGCTTTCTCTGCCAGTGTCTATATTGGCTTTTAGAATAGAAACCAAATTTTTTCTTGATCAATAGCCAGAGCTGTCGGTTTTGAAGGATGGCGTCCTGGAAATTCAGGTGGAAACAAAGCAAAAGATCAAATCTTCATCTATATTCTCCTGGGCCACCAATTTCATTAAAACCACACCGTTTCCCCAGGCCATCCCTAAAATGTGCTTGTTGCTTGTGCTACAGTTTCTTGCTGCTACTCCCAGTGAGCCCAGCAGCTTCGGAAGCCTCATCCCCAGACCAGAAGAGGGGTTGTGCTCAGAGTTCTGAAAACACTTCATTTCCACAGAGTTCTTAGCTAGATCCTGGCTAATAAATCACTTAAAATGACTTTCCACCAGACTGAAAGGTAACAACCACAAGGTACTCAAAACCAAGAAGAAGAAGAAAATTACTGTTCAGTCCTGTTACTGCCACCTGCCCTATTGAAAGTGCCAAATAAATGCTGAGTGGCTGGATAAATCCTAGGAATCAAATAGTGTTCTTACTACTTTTATGAATTCCCTCATCCTTTGCCCACATACATGCACAAGTTTTACAGATTCATTTATAATAGAGTGGTAACATTTTGTATTCTGTTTTTATTAGCCCCCAAATAATATCACACAATCTGTAATGTGTAATTTTTATGTCGTTACTTTGAGGACAAAGGTGCATTTGACCCAAGTCATGGTATTTTCCATTGCCTCCCATGCATATGAAATGTGGACATTGAGTAAGGAAGACTTAGAGAATCGGTGCATTTGAATTGTGGTGCAAGTGAAGAATAGCAAAAGTACGTGAGTTGCCAAAGGAACAAACACATCTGTCTTGGAAGAAGTACAGCCAGAGCATGCTCCTCAGAGGTGAGGATGGTGAGAGTTTGTCGTGTGTACTTCAGACAAGTTCCGAGGAGAGGCTAATGGCTGAAAGGGACGTTATGCTTGTTCAAGAAGAGGAGAAGCCAAGAGGAAGGCGCTTGGCAAGATGAACTGACACGGGGCTGCAACAATGGGCTCAAACATAAGGACAGTCAAGAGGGTGCTGCAGGATGAGGAGGGGTTAATTATGTTGTAGAGAGAGGGTCACTAGGAGTCAGATAAAATCCTAACTAAATCCAGGGGTGGCGTGGGAAATCCTTGTCTCAAAGTGTTTTTCTTGGAGTGAAAAACTTTTATTTTTATTTTTAAAAGGTATTGACTGTATACTTCAGCTCTAATACCTAAAAATTCTATGAATTAAAAAATTTTTTTTTTCATATTTTTTTGGAAGCTTGGATATAAAATGCTTCCTTAGAAAAATGGCACTTGAGCCTTTTACTGAGTCACGAAAATCACCCCGTGACACAGAACACAGAGAAACACTGCAAACGAACAATTCCAGAGGTGGATGTTGACTCCAGTGAACCACCGCGTCCTTTCGCTCTTACGTAGGCAAACCTGTCTTCAGATGGTTCTCCTGCTGAGGTTAATGCTCACTGACCTTTCCAGGTGAAGGATCACCTGGTCTAGTCTCCAAGAAAGCAATCTCATTGCCCTCGGGTAGACGCTGACTCATAGCGACTCTATAGGACAAGGTAGAGCTGTACCCCACCCCCTTGTGGATTTCTGGGACTGTAACTCTTTATGGGAGTAGAAAGCCTCCCTTTTCTCCTGTGGAGCTGCTGGTGGTTTCCAACTGCTGACCTTGCAGTGACCACGTGCCACAAGGGCTCCTCTAGTCTTTAGCAGGTTATGTAAAATGCCAGAGAAGGATAATAGAATCTCTCCCTATGGAGACAAATTAGTTACTCTTCTATGTTTGGCTTTCTCTTTTGAAAATACCAGAAGCATTTCTACATAGCTTTCAAAGAACTCTAAATTATCAAGTAATTTCTCACTAAAACAAAATGTGTGTGTTTTTATAAACTCTTTAATAGCTATCATTTTTAGAGACCAAAGTGGTTGATCTAAAAGAATTACCTTCTTTTGGGAATAAAACTCTTTGTTCCTACCCACGCACCCCCCAAAATAAGAACCACACAGAAATTAGCTTACCTCTACAAAGAAGGCCACACAGAATTGAACAAGGGCAGCTACGAAAACGGAAATCCTCCATGATGTGACGGTTGGGAGGAACTGTTGACAAAGAAGTAGCATCGTATGATTTGCATACCTTGCACTTAAATGCATATTAATTACCTTAGTTAATGCTTAAAGGGCTTTGCAGAACTTGAAGGGTGGGCATTACTTTCTCCACTTTACAGATGATAAAACTGCAGGGCAGTGTCCTGCTTGGGGAGTCAAAGCCAATTAATAAATGGAAGGGTCAGGACAAAAATGAGAACTGACTGCATCTTGGCCTGTCCTCCCTCCACCTGCCAGTGGCTATCTAGTGAACGTGTCCGGATGGTGGATGTGAGCAGAAGAGATGTGGGAGCTGTTGTATCTCTCTTCAAGTTTATTTCATTTGCAGAAAAGAGAGGGTATAAGATTAAATCATTCGTGCAATAATATTATTTCCAAGTCTATGAAAGCAAAATCTGCCTGGAATTTACTCTCTCGCTCGTTCGCTCTCGCTCGTAATTAAAGTTGACACATGGCTGGAACGTAAGGGGGGCAGAGGTACAAATTTATTTTGATTGAAACTGGTTGATGTTTTCTGAACAAATCTTCACAGCCCTAAAGGCTTGGTGAAGTTCCAACTATTCAACCGACCTACTTTTAACATCGAAATATACACATTGGGCATGAATGACAATGACGTAATAGGGAGGAAGGCAGAAATGCCCCCATGGCTGTCCCTTTTTGGCTTTTCTGGGTAGAATAAGGATGACTGCGTGTGGAACTCTCAGGAAGACTAAGACTACAGATACGCTATAGTGCTCTACTTCAATACATCCCTATTTTGATGAGAGTTATTTCAAAGTAATAATTGCTTGTCATTTCCCCACCCCCACCAAGTAGGATAGCCTTTATCAGAGCTGTGAAACATAGCAGACTGGTGGAAGGGTTGTTGTGGGGTGGTGGAAAGGTTAGATTTAATAGTGGGTCAGAATATAGTAGAGAGCCTGGATCTTTCTCTCATAAGTACCACCAGTCCCATCCAGGCAGACTCTTCATCTCTTGGCCTAGAGCAGCGGTTCTCAATCTGTGGGTCGTGACCCCTTTGGAAGTCAAAGGACCCTTTCACAGGGGTCGCCCAATTCAAAACTAGCAAAATTACAGTTATGAAGTAGCAACAAAAATAAGTTTATGGTTGGGAGGTCACCACAACATGAGGAACTGTGTTAAAGGGTCGCAGCATTAGGAAGGTTGAGGACCACTGGCCTAAAGAGGAACCTGTCAATTGCTTAGTGATTTTCTTTTCTTCTGTTTTCTGGATTATTTCAGAGCAATGATAATGCCTTACTCATCCCTGTAATGTTGTGTTAACTGCCATCCAGTCAATTCCAACTCATGGTGATGCCATGTGTAACAGTAATGGTAAATGATATGTGTCGACTTTGTTAGGTCAAGTGCTAGGCATAGAGTGTGGTCCCCATGTCTAGATAAACATTTTTCTAGTTGCTATTCCAGAATGTCAAGCAATGCTATAAGCACATTCCACATGTAGTCAATCAGGTGGAAAGGGAGTTTCCATAGAATGAATTC